TTTGTCAATGTTGGTTTTGTCGTCAACCGGAAATTGTAATACATCTCATCATTATGTGTTTCGTCACAATGTTTAAGTAAAACTGTTCAAAAAAAAGTATGGTGGTCCGCCACCACGATATGTGGAAACTATAAGTGTCAGCTAAAGCTTTGTTTCATCTTATTTTTCTGCCTGATAACATCTGTAATATTCTCATTATAGATTCTATTGTAGGACAGGAGAAGAGTAATAGACATACCCAACGAGTTGGTAAACTGCAGTGGCAGTGGGCCACATATTTAGGTTAAAGAATCGACACTTGACGACAAAGCAGGTACATTCGAGTGGCCGTGACGTTCCGGCAAGTGTTTCCCAAATAGATGAATATCTGCTAACACGTAGCTAGTGGCTTAGAACTGCAAATGAAGTATGTGTTCAGCAATATGCTTTTGTATTTTAAAAGTATTGTTTGTAATTTATTTTATAACAATAGAGAAGCAGTGTCATGATAGTAAGTAGCTGTTACCGTCTTTGAACATCAAAATCCAACCCGTGATTCTCATTAGCACCACCAATGTTTAAGCCAATGCGCTCGAACGGCAAAATTTTTTTTACATTCCATTTTCCTTATATTATGTTTTTACATAATATATTTCTACAATAAAAATGAGTGAAAGATGTAATATTATTTACGTAACTAAAATTAAAATCACGATTACTTAATCTGCAAAAATAATGGTGGTCATTTAAATGTTAATTGAAATGAAATTTGTACCAATTAAAACGAGTGATATTAACTTTCTTGGGCAAGTAAATTTTGAAGAAAAAAATATACACAAAAAGGTTGCGTATATTTTCTCAGAGAAGCTTTAAATTATGAGAGAAACTTAGCAATTACTGATAGTAAGAACTTTGCTCTTCAGGTTGACTTTCAACATTTTTACATACATCTTTATTTAATGAAAGGAAAATGAACAAAATTATTGTTCGTAATGATCTTGTGCGAGCTGAAAGATTGGATATAAATATTTTGGCATTATTTAAAAAAAAAACATTTATTATTGTTGATAAATATATAGTTACAAGTGTTAACGTGGCGGTCATCACCCTCGGGATAGACAATATATTGAAGACACACAAGTGTAGAGTGATTTTTTTTGCCTATATCATTTTGATAGAATTTTGTTGCCTAAAATAAAATATTAAAATTAAAAAAGATATCGGATTACAATCGATATTGTTACATTTATACAATAGAATGAAACCAAATCTCAAATTTACCATGTACCATACGAAAATCTGATGAAGCATACTGAGAGTTAATAGTTGCTTATGAATGGTGGCTTAGGATAGTACTTTATGGTGTTTGAAGTAAGTCAATGTCTAGGACTTGCACCTGTGACGGGTTGCTGTGATGATGATGAAATTTTTTGTGGTGTTTATAGTAATAAGCGGTAAGTATGTCAATTTTGATATCTCAAACTAAGCATATCATAGTATTGAATAGGATTGATGTCATTTTGATAACTAAATTTTTTTATAGATTAAGGGTGACAAACGAGCACACAATCCCCCTGATCGTAAGTGGATACTGCGGCACAGAGACATCTTCACTTGTCCTCATTTAAGAATCGAAATGCAGATGCGTCGTCACCCTCGAGGACTGAAATGGAATGTCTCGTTTTCATTAAAAAAGGTACGATACACTTGCCATACGAAACACACACAAAGCATTGAGCTGCTATTTGACACTAGTATTCTGTGAGAGAGTGGTGGCTGACCTGTTCAAGCTACAACCATAATATACCTGCAATGTGGCGGAATTTAGAAATTAAGGAGTACTTTATCACAAACAAAATAACTAAAAAAGGAAACAGATATTTCTAAAAATCCCCGTACAATACAGATACAAGTAGTTTTATAGAGGCTAGGATGACAGGCGAGCACACAGTTCTACTCAACCTGCTGGTAAGTAATGTTGTAGTACATTGAACGTCCCCTTCTATTCCAGATTGATATGAAAATTCAGATATTGTCATCTCTGAGTACTAAGATGGTATACCTCTGTATCACTAAAAAGGATCATTCTCTCCACTCTCTCTCCACAAATAAATTAACAAAAAAAAGTTTTTATTTCGGAGTTAGTTTTATATTTTAAACCTTTTAGTTATAAAACTGTGTTTCTGACGGTATTAAATAATATTTCCATGCATAATATTTTGTAGAAATTACTTCTTTAATAAAATTAAAGCGTGAATGAGGTACTCATAAATTATACAGTACTATACTTTTGCGAAAAATTATATTCAAGTTTTTATCTTAGAGTTCCAGAAGAATATATGTATAATTAAAATATTTTATTTGTTTATAAAATAGTTTATATAATTACATAATATGTCTGGCTTTAGCGAGTCAGCTTTTTAAAATAAGCGCCTCTCTAATTTTATTAAGGTAGATGATATTGATTTGCACTGCATTGTATAGTAAGGTACTACTGTAACAGATCCCTTGTGCTCTCTGAAACCAAGATTATTATACAGTAATCACACGTAAAGGATGGTGGTGATATTCACCGTTTGAATTTCGGTTCATATGGGTCTTTTTTATACACCGTATGACTGATAGTGTTATTAGGATTTCGTATAATTAAAACATCTAGAAAATCTAAAGAATTATTTGCCTCTCTCTACTCTAACTCTACTGTTACTTGAATTTTAGAGTTTATGGAGTTAAGATTGTCTAAGAATGCAGTAACTTTTTGTGATGGTAAAATTATGATAGTGTCGTCTTCGAACCGCCTAATCAATCTTGGATTTACACATAAAGTACCTAAGTAATTGATGGAATTAAAAAGTTCAAATTAAACGCGATAAATTACGTACAATTAGTTTTAATTAATGTGTGGTATTCGCGTAAATATACGAAGGTATTATGTGAACCTACATATACTTTAACTAGTTAAATAACATACGCATAATTAAACAATACGTAATAGATGCATTATAAGCATACTCTTATATAGACATAAAAAACTACAAATAAATAAAAACCATATCAATCCAATCACATCACAGCATTATCACTTGAAGACGAAAAGTAATGATCCGATATCACATTCTTAAAGAAAGCAACTAATATGTGGAGATAACTTATTTCAAAGTCTTTGTGGCCTCAGGGTCGAGAGAATTAGACTTAAATTTGTTATGACGAGTAATAACGCGTAAACTAGTGTTTTTCAATACACAACTTGTTTGTAAATACGACTGAGTGGTCCAAAACTCAATATGCTTGATTTTTGGATGATAAATTATCGGTATATATCGTTGTTAAAGTCAAAAATTGTATATTATAAATTTATAAGTGGTAGAGCAGTGATATTGTGTATGGTTATAGCTCGAATGGTTCGCATTGATGATGGGAGGAACTCGCTCGCACGTATGCCAGAGTGAAATAGCAGCGTAATGATAACGTGTTTCGTAAGGTAAGTGGCTAGAACCGGAGACGTTTTAGTGATAACGAATCATTCCATCTTAGTTTAATTAGGGGTATGAAATTAAAATGTAGGTGCATTTTGATTCTTAATCGAGAATAGATGCAGGTATCCACGGGCCACATCATTCACATACATTTAGACAGACTTTGTTTACTCGTTACACCTTTTCTACTTGATTTTCTACTACACACGAGCACACAGTCCACCTGATGGTAAATGGTTGCTGCGGCCCATAGACATCTAAATCTATCCTCAGATAGATATATTTATAAATCAAAATGCAGATGCGTTGTCACCCGTAAGGACTAAGATGGAATGCCTCATTTACAGTAAAAGGGTCTCTGGTTCTCTACATTCACCATATGAAACACAGCAGCATTAAGCTACTATTTTACGCTGGTATTTTGTGAGAGCGTGATCTTTCCCCGGTCGAGCCGACCCATTCGTGCTACAACTATACTACTAATGTGACTGCAGCATGGCTCTACCACGTATGTGATATATGTATTTTGTATATAGTTATATACATATATGCTTGCCAGCTGGCACATTATTAAAAAAAACCGATGTCAAGCTGTAAAGAACCTTTCTAAGAGTGTTGATGTAAGTAACATATCATTATGAGTACGGTAAATGTATTTACGTAGTTTACTTCAATTCTTAACATACATATATTATGAAATTAATTGTAGTCATCGGCATCATCATCATCGTTACAATCCTACACAAGTCCATTGCTGAACATAGGCTTCCGACAAGCAATGCCATTATATTAATTCCATAATTGCGATTATGAGCCACCTGCATCCATCGAATTTCTGCATGTCTTACCAGTTCCTCAATCCATCCAGTGTAGGATCACCTTACACTTTGCATAGCGGTACGATTTAAAGTTTGACGATTTGTTAAAATAAATTGTCTAATGGTGTACCATTTTAAGTAATGCGAATATCGAACAATAAAATGAACGTCATAGTAAATTTAAATTTCAAGTCATTTAATTAAAAACCCATCGAGCCGTGCTAGCTTAACCTACATACCAAAGTATAAAGTTTCGCCACATATTCTTTTTCCACAATTAATTTCATCACGTTATTAAGTTATGAGTAATTAGTTGATAACACCTAAATTTGTATTACTCATTGCACATTTAGATACTATTTTGTACATATTTAGAAAATATAGCTATTACCTAATTTATTGGTAATTTTTAAATTCCAGATAAGAATCTTAGTACCAACTAATTTTCATGCAGAACGCGTAGATCTATAACAGGATCCAATAGCTCCAAAGAACATGCTCGTGAGTGAAGAGTGCAAACGTATATACATATGTATGTTTGTTTAAGTAGAAGCGAGAAAATTGTTAACGTAACCGTTCACTCAGTCATTCTTCAGCTAAGAACGGATGACAAAAACTGTTATACTCAGTGCGCTATAGAACTCAGCGCAAGCGTCAAGCTTGGGTAAGTCACAGTATTGTGACTTTTAAGTTATTAGTGTAATATAGTCAAATTTAATAATACAAGATGGCATTTAGGTCGACCACCGGAATTATTTTTTTGGCATGTTTAATTGGTAAGTGAGTTGAACTTCGAATTGCGCTTTTACCGTTTATAATATTTAACATTATGCGTACTTTATTTATAATATTATGCATGTTTAATTTTAGTATATATGCAATTATTTTCATTTTTCCGTAACTTCAAAATACCGTTTCAATATTGATTTATTGTTTTCGAAATAATAAGTTAAATGCTTAGAATTATTCTTACTTGAAAATATTTGGTGCGATTTTCAGTATCATTCCTTCCTTGAAAAGACATCAACGAACTGAAATATTATTTCGTAAAATGTTAAGAAATTGAAAAAGACCTGATTTTCGTTTAAGTTATTTAATTAAAAAAATGTCAAGGTCAACTTTGATACGATAATTTATGATTGCCTATTTGCATATTATTTAATAAATAAAAAGGAACCCAAGATTGCTGCTGTCCAAATCTAGAATATATGTAAATGAATAATAATGTCATGGTCGCTACCAGTTCTGAAACCATTTCAAGTCCACAAAAAATATTTTTGATACAACTTTCCTGCGACTGCAGGCTATGCGTGGTTAGGTAAAAGAGAAACTAGCGCGAAATATTGCTACACTTCTCTTTGTTCGATTTAAGGCGTATTTTGTATCATGTACAACGTGATGCAAAATACTTGCAATGGCTGATACATTGTTAAAACTTCCACGTTTATTACTCTGAAGTATGGTGAGAATTATGAGGAGATATTAATTTTGTACTTAACATTATGAATTAAGAGTTCTACAGGCTAAATATTTAATTCTTAACACAGACAGATAAGATATATGGTCCAATAAAAGTAATTATTTATTATTAGTAGGTAGTAGAGACCAGTTTTACTGGAATCGAAGCATTCCATCTTAGTACTCAGGGATGGCAACGCATCTGCATTTTGATTCTTAATCGAGATTAAATGCAGATGTCTATGAGCCACACCATCCACTTATTATCAGGTGGATTTTGTGCTCGTTTGTCACCCTTATTCTATAAAAAATACAATGTATAAACTATAATGCACTAGGTAACTCTTTGTGGTATCAATCATAATCAAATTTTGAATTGTTTTATGAAAACCTTCTGATAATATGATATCAACTGATTTCACATCTATACACATATAAATATTGATAAACTCAAAGTGTCTGTCTGTAATATCGATAAAACTGCTTTCTAATTGGTTCAGAAGGTTATCTGCATGCTATTAAGACGTAAATAACAATTTTAGAATTCTTGTGTGTTTGTCTTTCCTCCTGTCTATCTTTCTGTCCGTGTGGGATAATGTGAGGAATTGAAACCGTGAGTGATAAAACTTCTCAAAAAGATAGAGAGCAATCAAGAGCCAGGAGTGATCTATGGATCAAAGCTATATTTAATACTCAAAACTTGGAAAATTTTTTTAAAAATAAAAATAGGTAAAATAAGTAAATGGTTTTTGATGATTAACTTTGAGAGACAGATATTACAAAAAAAAATTGACTTTTTTGATAACACAAAGTCACAATTTATCGTCTATCTCTTAAAATTTTGATGTGAAATGGCTTTTTATTTTTTTCTGCTTCAACATACTTTTAATACAAAACTATCTGTGTTACAGGGTAATGTGATATTACTAGGTGACCTATAGTACGATATTACTAGGTGACCTATAGTACGTAAAATTAGTAGATCTTCATTTTTAATTTAAAAATTTGCACATTGCACAGATCTTTTGAGATTATAGCATTACAAAGAGTTAACCTTATGGGAAGTGGATGTTGTAACCCATAGACATTTACATCTTTCCTCAATTAAGAATCACAATGCAGATGCGTTGCCACCCCTGAAGACTAAGATAGAATGCCTTATTACCAGTAAAAGGATCTCCGGTTCTCTGAATTGAACTTACAATATACAACAGCATTAAGCTACTTTTTCCCACGTGTTATTCTTTGGGATGGTGAACTGAGGTGATCCATATCTAATACTGATTTAACAATAATATTTGATAATAAATAACACATAATTTAGTTGACGATTTCGTCTCTCCTGTAAAATAAGTCTAACTACCTACTTGATGCTATCATTATCATCATTACAGCCCTTCACAAGTCCACATAGTTTAGTCACACTTTCCCAATGAATGCCAAAAAGCGCTGCCTTGAGCTATCTGCATCCATTGCCTTCCTTTATGTCTTACCAGATCGTCACTCTAGACTAGTAAGGGGTCGCCCTACACTTCGTCTACGGGTACGAGGCTGCCACTCGAGAACCTTTTTTACCCATCGCTTGTCAGTTTTTCGAGATATATGGCCGATTTATTGGTACTTCAGCTTACTAATCCGTAATAATAGAAGGTATACGATTGAAAATTGAAAATTGTAATTCCAGGATGTGATTCTGCTTGATGGTGAACTATAAAGCTTTACCGGTCGAGCCGATCTATTAGCTACAACCATACTATAGATGCAGCATGCCACAATCACGTAAAATATATAACACTTGCTTAAATATGTTGTTATACTATTATAGAGTATAGGACTGCAGATTTTTTAAAGTTCCATGCGGACGAAGTCGCGGGTAGTAATGAATATTAAGTATGATTGTGCCTTGTATGCCTTGTATTGGTCGATGGCAAAGGGACGAACACGAAACATTCATTTATGTATTTACAAGTCGTCGCAGCATTTAAAAGATATTAGTGTACTTGTTATTAAGATATATTTTATAGGTGTTTTTTTATTGGATAGGGTAACAAACGAGCACACAGTCCACCTGATGGTAAGTGGTTGTTGCGGGCCATAGATATCTACATCTATTACATATATTTACGTGGTAGAGCCATGCTGCAGTTATATTAGTTGTATAGTTGTAGCACGTCGTAACATCCTCAATTACAAATCAAAATACAGATGCGTTGTCACCCGTGAGAACTAAGATGAAATGCCTCTTTTCCGGTAAAAAGGGTATCCAGTTCTCTATACTCACTATACGAAACACAGCAGCATTAAGCTACTATTTTACGCTGGTATTCTGTGAGAGCGTGAGCCTTCTCCGGTCGAGCCGACTCATTCGTGCTACAACTATACTACTAATATAACTGCAGTATGGCTCTACCACATATAACATGGGTTTATAAGAAAACACAAATTTAATACGTCTAATTCAGTTATATCATACATTTTAAAGCAAAAACATTAGATATAAGATTTTATCAGTGTATTGTATGTATTGAATTCAACGGAATACGTTAGACTGGCTATTAATTCAAGTTGCAGTGTAAGGTAAGGCTGAGGTTCAACAGCCAAGGCTATCAGAGAATGCGGATCTGAGTGGCAATAGGAAAAACGAATATGTTAGATAAATCTCCGACAGCGACAACATCTTGGCATGCAGTATATCGAACCCACATAGTTTAAACCAAAAGTAGCTTTCTTCGTGTGTATCTAGTATGGATGCTTTAGTTTGTTTTATTTGTTTTATCTTGTTTTCTTATTTGTTTGTTATTTGTTTTAAGTTACATAAAAATAATAAATGCTTAATCTCAATATTGCTAGAAAAAATAATTATTGTTTGTCTTCTTTCGACGATATTCTTAATAAAATATTAAAGGAATCTTAAAAAAATACACTAGCTTGGAAAATGTGGAAGCAAATAAGAATTATTTTGACTCCATAAAACTGAAGTGCTTTCTAAATCTAGTCCTCACACTACCGTGAAACCTGGCATCTTTGCCATTTTTGGAAGGACTTAAAAGCTTAGGACCAATTTTCCAAAATAAAAGGTACTCTCAGACTGCGTGTCAATATTAAAAATGACACAATATTTTTCATATATTTTGTATTTATTAGTGATTTAAACAAATACTAAAATTAAATAGACAAAATAGTCATAAGTAAAAAATGGCAAAGTTAATCTCACTTTGTGGCAACTTAGCCATCTGGGTTTATAATGAAAATAATAGTACTTGTATTCAAGGTTGAAGGTAAGTTTACCTCATAATATAATACATAAGAGTTATGATTTGTTCCTTTAATTACACTGCAAATAGTAAAATTTACGCTTGGCAAAGTTGGCGCTCCCATTTCTTAATTTTTCATACAATGTTGAAAATGTGTGTTATCAAAAAATTTTTGATTACATACTTTACTAAATTTTTTATTTAAATCTTTTTAAAATAATTTCTTAGACAATAATGTAAAATATATCAAACCAAATACTCTCCTCCAAAATTAAAAGTCAAAATGGTAAAATAATATGCTTAAATCATTTATAGTAGAGATTAAAAAATAATCTTGTCATAATAATTTTAATAAGTATTCGATTTCTTTATTAGTCATCATTATCATTACATTATGATCAGATAAAAAATAATTATAACCCACCCATTATAACAAAACATTCCAAATTGTTAAAAATTACAGTGTTCTTTGGGTGCAATTTATTATGAACACACAAAATTGAAAAAAATAAGAAATATAGAGTTGTAATAATATTATTATACCCGACAACGCAGTAAAAATAATATAAATTTCTTTTTTGTTTTCCTTAACTTTTGATAAAGAACTTATTTGGTAAAATTGGTCTAAATGGCTGCTACGGTAACAAGAAGACACAACGTTTTCTTTTTTCGTACGGTAAAAAAAGGTTGAAAGTGACCACCCTTGGTTGGAACAAAACATGGCAAAGTTACCGTCACATCGTGGCATTACTAGTATGGTAACTTTGCCAAGTCAGTTTTATAGACAATATGTTAATATTACCATGTTACAAACGATATATTACATACATATAGATACCTACATGTAGTATTTCAAACAAAAGCAACAAAAGTTCTAGAGCACTGAACAAAGTTAAAATAAAATGCCAAAATTAACTTTAATGTAGCTATATCGAAACAATGCTTCCAATTAAATATCTCAAAAATCATTAGGTTTTCCGTATTAATCGTAATTTTGTACCTATACATCTCTGATGGCAGAGTTAATTTCCATTAGTAAAGTTGCCAGACTTGACTGTAGGAAGTCAATCACTATTCAATGTAAACCAGACAAGTTTATTATTGATATATGAATGAAGTAGGAAACAATATGAATTTCCAGCGATATATAAACCTATTTAATAATAGCAATCCCCCCCCCCCTGGTTTCACCTAACTAGGCTCTATTAATGAGCGTTATTTAGATTAAAGATAATTTTCAAATAGCATTTATTTTACCATTATTTCGATTTCTCAAAAAAGATTTTTATTTTTCAAAGACCATTTACTCAAAAAAAATCTTCAAGTTTTTCAGATTAAATATAGCCTAGATTAATCCTGGTATTGCTCCCTGTCTGTTCGTCAAGTTTCACCCATTCCGAAGATTAAGTCCGGACAAAATTTTATAATGGTTTAATGGTTATTAATTTAATATTACTGACATATAATAGATTTCAATCAATTAACGTAACAATTTCAGTTTAAGTCTTTCACACAATAAGCATTTTAATTAAACACTAATAGGTGATTATAACTCGATTCAAATGTTTATATTTCTTCAGTATTAGCATCATCAGCTGTACCAAAGAATATTAAGAGAAAACCTGCTAATCCACCACCACGGGCTGAAGTCGATCCCGAGAAAGATGCCGAGATCACGAACTCGTGTCCAGATGATGGATTCTTTGCTGATGCCGAACAGTGCGATAAATATTATGAATGCAGGTTGGTATTCTTAAATATTAGGGTTTCGAGTTCTTTATACAAAGAGGGGGCAAAGGAGTATGTGCCTTACCTGAAAATTAGTGATTACCGCCGACCATGAACAACTGCACTACAGGAATTTACGAAAATCGCAGGTGCATATGAAATATTCCTTTCATTTCTGAAATTGCTGAATTTTAATACATGTGGTGATTTCGAACGAGTCTCTAGCAAATCCAAATGTAACCGACGGGTAGCAGTAAACAGTATTGCCAGTTGAAAGTATCTGCTATGTGTTTACTTATTTGCTTGGCAAGTTTAGTAAATTAAGATATTAAATTATACAGGCTGCATTAAAATTAAACTATCTTCTCAATGTAATGATAGATAATAAGCTCTTATCAATTTACAGAAACGGAGAGATCATAGAAAAACTGTGCCCAGATGGTATGGTTTTCAACGACTATAGTCCCGAACAAGAGAAGTGCGATTTGCCTTTCAACATCGATTGTTCACATCGACCCAAGTTACGTGAGTAAATTATTAATAAATTAACGCCAAACCGTTTGAATACATTGCACATGCTAACTGAGACTTATTTTGTGTTAGATTTGATGTGTTGACCCTTAATTTAATAAAAGACTGTAAGTTGATTTTAAAACACGTGATTTCAAATATATACCCGATAATTGACTGCTTCTTTGCCTAACAAAATATGAGAGTGAGGGAATAAGATAGAGTGCACCAGTACAATATAACCCTTCACTCGGGCAATATAACCTTGAACTGCGTAGATGGCTAGTCTCCGTTGAAATTGGCTGCCGTGCTCGAAGTTTTAGTCTGGACGACATTTTTTTCCTTGAACTATGAAGGGTCTATGCTCGGATTTCATCTGCTTGATAGACTTCGTAATCAAAATATCCGTAGAAGAACCAAAGGCACCGATATATTCCATCAGTTTAGTAAGCTGAAGTGACAATTGGTCATGCAGCTCGAGGAAATGACAACCGACGTGAAGGAATGTTTCTTGAGTGCTAGTCTCGCACCGGCCAGTGAAGTGTAAATCCACCCTTAGTTGGACTGACGACCTGATAAGAAAGGAAGTCGAAGGATACAGGTGACTTTGAACCGTGCTTTTCATATGTTTAATAATATGATATAAAATTGAATATCTAATGCTGATGTAACAATAATTGTTGACAAAAAATAACACATAATTTTGTTGACGACTTCATCTCTCCTGTAAAATAAGTGTTACTACTTGAAGGTATCATCATCATCATTATAGCCCTGCACAAGTCCACATAGGCCACACCTAATGAATGCCAAAAAATGCGGCCTTGAGCCACCTGCAACCATCGACTTCCTTCATGTCTTACCAGGTCGTCACTCTATCTAGTAGGGGGTCGATCTACACTTCGTCTACTAGTACGAGGCTGCCATTCGAGAACCTTTTTTCCACATCGATTGTCGATTTTTCTAACTATATGTCCAACCCATTGCTACTTCAGCTTACTAGTCCGTAACACTCGAAGGTATACGATGCATAAATGCTGGCCTTCCTGATTCTGGACTTTCATAGCTGCACGTATGTCGCTTAGTGATGCCCAAAAAGCTCATAGCGAGGTATGGAGATCAAATTGTGTGCGCGATAGTATCTGTAACTAATATAACAATTTTAGTAGGACTATCCGCAGCAGAAGGTTCTCAAATGGAGGCATGCACCGGTATGTGGAGTTAAGAGTTCCATCTCAGTAAAGTTACGACATATTAAGACATGCAAGGCAAATTGCTGCATGATTTAATAGGGCGTTATAGGTGGGCCATTAAATCCGACCAAATATAATACAGCGATATTCGCATATCTCCAAGCTGGAATAATCCTGGGGAGGTTTATGTCCAAACGTCCTATTTGGGATATAATATGCATATATCTAATGTCCATGATTAGTATTTAAATATTTGTGTACCTATATCAAAACTTACTCAACTGTACTCAACTTGTAGTAGGATTTACATAGATGTATTTACATTTTCTCTAGTAAAGCTAATTCAAAAATGTTTTAATACTTATATTAATTTTATACTAATAATATTTAGGTTGAATATTCTAAATATTCAAATAACATGCCATGAATAAATCAGTAGCTCTATTACCATTTGAAATCAGTTGCTAGGTATGTAAAGGTCAATATGCACGTGAGCAAACTCAACACGTGTTGCCATTTTAGTAAAGCGGAGTCGCATCAGTATACATTGTGACTATATTATAAAGGTTACCCATAATCGAAACAACTTTCACGTCTCAAGGAAAACAGGGCCTTGAGTATTGAAGCGGAGAGTAAGATTATTGTACGTTGTACGCCTTTCGATTGGACAAAGTAACTTGTCCGACATTGGTTTTACTTAAATAAATTATGGAAATGACAAACTGCAAAAGTCCACCAAATAGTTATTAGGCACTGTGGACCATATAGGTACATCAATTTCCATGAATGTATTGAGAGATGTAATGATATAACAATACCTGTATAATAATATAATGTGATATATCACATGTATAAGTTTGAATGTACTTATACAGATTTTTCTAGACCTTTCATAAACTTTTTTCATTAAATGTCAGCTTAAAATATTTCAAAGGAAGTATAAATCCTTATTATGAATTACTTTTAATAAGTAATTAGTATGTATATATTTAAGTGACAATAAGCCGGCTATATAGTATAAACTATACTACATTGTGATTTTGATGTATTATTTATAATAAGTTACCAATAAAATGAATAATTAAATAATTTCCTTTACAGAGACTCCTATACCATCTCTTCACTGCCCACGTCTCAATGGTTACTTTTCTCATGAAGATCCCAAAGAATGTGGCATATTCTACTATTGCGTGGATGGGAAATTTAACATGATCACGTGCCCTGATGGATTGGTATACAACGATAAAACCGGCATTTGTACATGGCCTGATGAAGCTAAGAAGACGGGTTGTGGTGCTGCTGGTAAGTTTATTTTATACCGTTTCATTGTCTATCCTGCGGATTCAGATGGTTTTTTTAATAGGATAAGGGTGAACAATGAGCACCATTCCACCTGATAGAAAATGGATGCTCTGGCCAATAGACATCTACATCTATCCTCGATTACGAATTAAAATGGAAATGCGTTGCCACCCCTGAGGACTAAGATGGAATGCCTCGTTTTCAGTATAAAGGGTCTTTGTTTTTCTACACTCACTATACAACATACAGCATCATTGGGCTGCTATTTTACGCTGTTATTATACTGGTCGGGCCGACCCGTTCGTGCTACAACCATAATATAGCTGCAGCGTGACTCTACCACCCATAAGTATCTCCGTTTTCGTTTCTCGTCACTCACCATACGTAAAACATATAACAATATTGCTATTAGACGTTTAAACTCTATGCTAGCATGTTACTTTATTGGTGGAGCTAACCCATTCGTGGTATAGTGAATTCATTTGCACCATAGCTTACCATTTACAATAATATTTGTAGCATAATATTTTAAAACATCTTTATCTCATTCAACAATATCTTGTTATTCCTTCCCTACATATTCAAATGAATCGTTGCATCTATGAATTTTCTCTTTTCGTAGCTTTATTAAAATTGTTGAATGGAAGTATTCAGTTTTCTAACATTAGTCTTAGTCAATTGACGTGTTTACGATTAACTTTTGCCATAAAGTATCTTATTATAATTTTTCGTCGGGTATGCTTTAGTTAAGTGTAAGCCTTTTCATGCTAAAATACCTTAGAATGAATAATATATTCTTTCATTACAGCCCTTTTCAAGTTCACTGCCGAATATAGACTTCTCCATGCTTTATGGTATTCCCATGAGGAGGCCTATTTTGAACTCTATATCAGCTCATAATTTTTCTAAGAACTTCCTCAAAAATTCCCTCTGGGCACTGGACTCTTCAAATTTTCATGTCCTTGATATTTTTTGAAAGGATCAAATATATTAAAATCGCTTGTAATTTACAGATGTGTTCCAATTCGACTGCCCACCTGTAAACGAGACGTTCGGACTAACACACCCTCGGTATGCGGATCCCGAAGATTGTCAGTTCTTCTACGTTTGTATCAACGGTAACACCCCGCGTCGTTCTGGATGTAAGCTGGGACAAGCTTTTGATGATGTTAGCAAGAAATGCGAATGGGCGAGAAAAGTGCCCGAATGGTAAGATAATCTTAGTTTTAATATTTTATATAAAGTATCTTTTTTGATTAACTCAAGCTTTTTGCTGAAATTCAGGCCCTTTTAAGATTGTGACAACTTGTTTTCATAACATGAGAAATTTGTCTATACCCACGGCGCTGGGCGGGCGGACTAGTGAGCACTGAGTGGATACTCTTGTATTGGTAATTATATAATCACTGTCTGTGGAATTTGGATTCAGCTGTTAAGTCAAGTTTCCATTTCATCCCATTAGTGTATGGTAATAATTTAAGTAAAAGGAATGAGAACAGGAAATTCCAAGTCCGACATTGCAAGATGTCTAGGTGCTAAACAGTGGTCCATTAATTTGCCAAACGTGACGAATAAGGCAAGGTATATAGGTGAGCGTCACAGTTGTCAACAGTCCGTCATAACATACTCACAATACAAAAACATCATTTATAAAAAATACTTAAATAGACGCGCCCTTACCATATGATGACCACTCTGAAATGTGTCCATTCTGAAATAAGTGGGCTTACTCATTCGCAATCAGTGCTCATTTGTGCGACAGAGAAAGTAGTATACACAATTTCTGTAAGATATTAAGAGATGACACTATTGCATTAGTCTGCGCGCGTCAGCGTCTTGCAAGTGAACACATCCAAAAATAATGCCACAGTTTTCAAGATGAAGGCGCATTTAACTATTTAAATCTTTGCTTTATACAAATATAAAATAAATTTAAATCGTCATATTATAAGGTATAGCATGTACATATACATTTAATTAATTTGTATGTTTCAGTGCGGACTGGTACAAAGACCAATTGACTGATGCTGAGTTGGACGCTCTAGAAAACCCACCAACTGTCAAACCTAAACCGTCTGGTTCTCAGCCCACAAGACGCAAGTCGCAACGTCCGAAAGCGAAGGATGTCGTGATTGAAGAATAAAACATAGGATAGTTAGGTTAATAATTAGTAAGAATTTTAAAATATTTTACAAGTAAATTGGGAAGTTTTATTTTATGTTACCTGATAATAAATACTACTTATACGTGGTAAACCCATGCTGCAGTTATATTAGTAGTATAGTTGTAGCACGAATAGGTAGGCTCGACTGGGAAAGGACCACGCTCTCACAGAATACTAGCGTAAAATCTAAATGCTGCTGTGTTTCGTATGGTAAGTGTAGAGAACCGGAGACCCTTTTTAATGGAAATGAGGCATTCCAGCTTAATCCTCACGGAACATTTTAATGCAGTTAGTTAACACACTTCATTACTCGTTTACATTAACAGACCTTCACAAGTCCGAATTTAAATTTAAATTTATATTGGTGATTATATAGGTAATATTTTGTTCTCGTTGTTAATGTGTTAGAAAAATCACTGAGCTGCTTTCACTCCACTGCTGAATATAGGTCTTTTCTAAACACTTCCTGAATATCTTACGTAAGCGTCTCTCTTTTTAGTGGAGTACCGCTACGAGGCTACCGCCTGAGAGCATAACTTCCTCATTGTTTGTTGGTTCTTCAAACTATATTACCACTTTAGCTTACCGATCTTAGAGCACATGTCATTAATGCAAAGTTACAGCTCAAATACTATTCCCTCATACAGGTCACAGAACTCCCCTCATTTTTGAGAGTTTTACACAGCAATTAGTCCGCTGTGCAGTTCTGCGTGTTGGAGCTATATACCTTTATATATATATATATATATATATATATATATATATATATATATATATATATATATATATATATATATATATTTAGGCAGCAATAAATATACAATAAAAATAAAGCGCGTAGGAGTTCGAACATTGTTCATTTATTAAGATGGCATGCAAAATATATTTTATTTTATAAACTCTTGCAACCGGTTTGTAAAGTAAAAAGTAAAGTAAAGTTGCAGCCTATATACATCCCACTGCTGGGCACATGCCTCCTAATCACTTTTGAGAGGGTTCTAGGGCAAGGAAGAGTCCACCGCGCTGCCCCAATGCGTGTTGACGGACTTGACATGTCATCGGTAGATGTTGGCTTGTCACAATTTCATTCGTGCCGGCGGGGATCAAACCAAACGGTTTGCAGCAAAAGAAAATCTAGAACTGCAATTATGTAGATGGAATTTCAGTAACATTTTCAATAAATTTCTTTGGAAATAGACAATATAAAGCTAGTGATTTTATTTTAGAATTTTAATTCACGTCTAATTCTTTTAAAGTGTACATGAGAAAAAAATCAGAACGTTATCTAATATATTATTTGTCGTTATATAAATGCATAACTTGTATAAATTTATATTTAATAGCTTAATTTGTATAAATTTAATGTTGTTATGAGTACTTGAACAAATTATAAGGTCAGCATCGACGAGTCTTAGAAGGGGACGCACCATAAATAATGCCTGGTATATCGGATGTCCGGTAATGAATGGATAACCTTGAAATGTCTTATAGTACAACTTATGGCCGTCCTGAAAAAAATACGAAAAATAATATATCACAAGTAGTTCCTTTGATATATTTTTTTAAAGAAAAGTCGATTCTTTTCTATCTTATTTTACTGTCTTGAACACTATGACCAAAAATGAATGATTTCTATTGGTTTTTTGTTATATTATTATTATACACTAACTGTGCTTATAGGTAAAATGTAAACAATATGAATAGCTTTTGCAGTTTTTATTTAAAAAATTCGCAAATCAATTTATTTCTGAAAAACATGCAAAAAATATTATTTAAGCGAAGTTCAAACCTCTTGGGTATGAAAAAAATGTATGAATGTATGGGTGACCAATAATTTTACAATAATATCGGTTTCGTGTATATTTTATAATGGTATAATTCATAAATGTATCTTCCATAAATAGTGACTTATTGCCATTAATGTAGAAAAGGAGAAAATTTGACTAAGTAACAAAATTTGTAATATGGGAACATTTATTAAATTGAATTGTGTTTGATCATTGGGGATTAATAAAAAACAACATTTAAAATTAAAATATTTTATTTTTCGTCAATTTACAACAAATTTTCAAATTGTTTGCCTGACACTCTTATGCATGCCCTACATCTTCGGATAAATGATCTTCTGAGCAGTCTAGTGTACCGTCGCTCGCATATTTTTGATGCGGCTTCTCTGACACGACTGCGTAGTTCGTCCAAAGACCGCACGGGCTTACAGTATACTTCCTCTTTCAGACAGCCCCACTAAAAAAAATCCAATGGATTTAGATCCGGTGAACGTGGAGGCCACAAAATTGGCCCTAGACGTCCGATCCATCTATTTGGGTATCTGCTATTTAAATATTCACGAACCGGAACAGCATAATGCGCAGGACAACCGTCATTTTGCAGCCAATACGATTCCCTCAGCTCCTCGGGAACCTCTTGTAATAAATTGGGGAGATCATTTTGAAGAAACTCCAAATAACTTTGCCCCGTTAAATTCCCCGGTAATTCAAATGGGCCAATTATCATACCATTTAATATTCCGGTCCAATAATTTATTTTAAATTGGTATTGTGACCTGTCTTCACGCATAAGATGGGGATTTTCTAGTTCCCAACTATGTAAATTGTGTAAATTTAAGTAACCGTCTCTTTTAAGCGTTGACTCATCGCTCCACAAAATTTTATTAAAAAATTGCGGGTCTTCTTCCATCTTTGTCAGCATTTGCCGGCAAAAACGCACTCTTGAGAGATAATCTCTTGGTTGGAGAGTTTGCACGCGTGTAACGTGGTAAGGGTGGAATTCGTTTTTCTTTAAAATATTGTGTACGGTCGATTTTCCAATACCTGTGCGTCGAGCTATTGCTCGCGTAGAGGTTGAAGGATCGTTTTCAATATCCTCAAGCACCACGTCTTCTACATCAGGACGAGCGATTCATCCAGCGCTAGCACCACCGACACCACTACCCGGCATTCTTCCTTCAGAGTAACAACCGTGGACTCTTATAAATACACGCCAGTCTGGGTGGCGAACATTAGAGGTACCCCTCTCCCTATAAAGAGCTGCGGCTGCATTTGCGTTGCCTCTGCATTCTCCATAAATAAAATGCATGTTTGCATATTCTTGTGCCGTGTACTGATGACGTGGCATTTTGATAGGTACACAAAAGTCCAGTTTAGTCCAGAAACATGCCAAATCGTCGCAAATATCACCAAACGCAAAAAAAGTCCAAATCAATAAGAAAAACAAATAGTCCGGTAAAATAGCCAAGTGGTTGTTTTAACACTGATTTAAATAATTGCAAAGGAGACAAAATAAATACATGCGAAGTCGAGCAGGTCGTGTGACGCACTAAGTTCTCTTTTACATTTAGCTCTTCTCTCTCCCACTTACCCAATTCAGACCTCTCTTTGTCTAACACAAAAGGCAGCAGGTAGCAAATATGAAGGTCACACGACCCATTTCACGCTAGTAAAGTAACCATTTCAAGATTTAAATTGGTTATTTTATTACATTTAAATAAGTTAATTTCTAATACTTAATTTGGTTTCAATTTGTTTAAAAATGGCTGTTTTCATGTATGATCAACTCCTGATGTGTTTTTATTAATTCCCAATGATCAGAGACAATTCAATTTAAAAAATGTTCCCATATTACAAATTTTGTTACTTAGTCAAATTTTCTCCTTTTCTACATTAATGGCAATAAGTCACTATTTATGGAAGATACATTTATGAATTATACCATTATAAAATCTACACGAAACCGATATTATTGTAAAATTATTGGTCACCCATACATTCATACATTTTTTTCGTACCCAAGAGGTTTGAACTTCGCTTAAATAATATTTTTTGCATGTTTTTCAGAAATAAATTGATTTGCGAATTTTTTTTAAATAAAAACTGCAAAAGCTATTCATATTGTTTACATTTTACCTATAAGCGCAGTTAGTGTATAATAATAATATAACAAAACACCAATAGAAATCATTCATTTTTGGTTATAGTGTTCAAGACAGTAAAATAAGATAGAAAGGAATCGACTTTTCTTTAAAAAATATATCAAAGGTACTACTTGTGATATATTATTTTTCGTATTTTTTTCAGGACGGTCATAAGTTGCACTATAAGACATTTCAAGTTTATCCATTCATTACCGGACACCCTGTATAGAGCGTACCCACTAGCATCATATAATATCGAGTATCACAACTAGGAGAGCTTTTTAGAAAATTACATACTTGAACTTTCTACACCTAGTCAGTCGGGACTGGTACGTAATCGAATATTCTAGATGTTTCTATATAAGAGCTTGTTTTTGTATGATTATTTGTCAAGTTAATGAACGTAATGATTACAATATATTTTTGGAGGTAGTGAATTATACATAAAAATAAAGCACTGGAGATGCTCAAAATTGTGAGGAGCTAGGATTTTAACAGAAGACTGTCTTATTATTATTTATTATAGCCACAAGTCTACAGCTGAACATAGGCCTCCCCTAGGAACGCCACAAAGCACGGTCCTTAGCCACCTACATCTATCAACTTTCTGCATTTCCTACCTAGTCGCCACTCCATCTAGTGAGGGGTCGCCCTAAGCTTCCCCTACGAGCCTGCCACTCGAGAACATTTTTTTCCTATCGGTTGATGATTCTTCGAGTTATATGGCTGGCCCATTGCCACTTCAGCTTACTTATCCTTTGAGCTATGTCCAGTCACTTAGGTTCTACTGTGGATATCCTCATTTCTAGTTTATCACGCAGAGAAACCCCGACCTTTAGCGTAGCTCACAGTTTAGCGTCCTCATATGGCCTCTAGTGAAGGACCCCGTCCATAAGTCATCACTGGCAACACTCACTAGTTGTAATCGTCAGCTTGTTTTCAGGTTTTGAGGTATACCTAACGAAAAGATGTGTCGTGATTTCCCGAACGCTGCCGAGCCGAGTTGAATTTTTTTTGTTTATAGAATAAGGATGACAAACGAGCACAC